ATCGTGCTTTGTGCGATCTTGAGTGGTACAAACTAGAACCAAAAAAGACAAAAACTTTTATCTTAATAATGGTACAAGCCAGCCAACCTTTCCGTATCACTGCAGGAAAAACATTTCCACTTACAATGACAACATTCTGCAGTGTAAGATTATTAATAATTTATCTAAAATTTATTTTGTCGTTAATCTGAAAAAATATTTGCATTACTTACTTCCTTTAATATATAACGTAAATGGAAAAAATATCTTTTGCATTAACCGCCTAATTTTTAGTCTTTTTATTTTCTTGTAGAGTATACTTAATCGTTAAAACATAAATGCCAAATTAATAATTTATATTTTTTAAATACTTTTAATTGCATATTTATCAGTTAAAAAAATTGTATTCTATTATCTACTTACATAGAAAATATGTTACAGTTGTTGAAAACATCGGCTGGCTACATATCATTTCTATTCGCAAACCGAAGATGAGAAAAAAGTCAAAGTCACGCTAGTACGACATTTATATTAAAAGATTTATGAGAAAAGTAGATGTAATAATCTTTTAATTAAATAATTACAAATGTAACGGAGATATATTAATCATAATAAAAATAAAATATTTGTTATTTAATTCAATGTTTGTTATTTTATGTAATATTTGAAATTAATATATTTGTTAAAAAATATTATTTTTTATTTTTATAATCACTACGTTAACAATACCTTTTTCAGTAAAATACTCCTTAAAGTTCAAGATTTTGATAGTGATTTAAGCATTTTAATTTAACAATAAATAGATATTAAATATATTATACATAACATATTTTTAATTTAGATTTATTAGAATTCAATTTGTAAAGAAATTATGTATTTTACAAAAGCATATATCTTATTTTGTAAGAACTCAATATTTTCAACAACTCAGTTACAACGAATATATCTTTGAATGTATCTTTTCTAATAAATACAAAACGAATAAATGACGTGAATAAACGTGTGATGCATTCTATAAAATCTATTAACTACAGCAAAGTTGTATAAACCATGCGATCGAAGCGTGAGAATACAACAGCTGTAAATAAGCGCGTTTTTTTTCTAACATGATATCTACCTGTTATTATAAAATTTTTTATTCCTAAATGTTTTGCACGATATTCGATGCTGAAAACTTGTCTCGAAATATAAAACGAAGGTCGGACGATATAAAATATTTAAAACACTTCCGATGCAAGTTCATCATTCAGCACTTTCGAGAACTTTTGAAAGCATGCGCAAGCAATACTTCTTGTTAATAGAAGGTAACGTGGTTTCATGAAAAAGGAACAGCTGTCAGTCTTATATATTCGACATGAACAGTTCGAAATATACCGGATATCAAGGTGCTCGCTGTTAAAATTGTTGCACCTGCAATTTGAAAGAAAATAACCTTATAAAAATATATTTATCTATTATGTGCACGTGTGTGAACAATAGTGGCATTTAATATACATTTCATTTTATCAATATATATTAAAAGAACTTCTTTTGATATCCTTTTATATATGCAGTGTATTAAACAATTGTAACAGAAAATTAGCTATATTTAATTACAATAAATAAGAAGTACCTAATATCATAATAAATTAGTGATTTTTATGATTCATATTTATTATTTTACTTAATAAATATGGATTATAAAAATAATCTTCGAATTTGTATAATTAATATCATTCAGAGATACAGTTATACAATTAGAGATTTATAGAAAATTATTTTTGAATATTCTATTTATTTCACACATCTGTTAAACACGACATTGTGTGTTAAGCAAATATGTTTTGTTCTAACTGTGGATTTATTTATTGCATACTTATGATTATGTGATGCTTTACATGAGCTCCGATTTATTAAAGTTTCTACAGGTAGATTTCACATGGGCGGTGAAATTAAATCGAATCACTTTAGATTTGATTGGACTGTGGCCTAAAACCGCACGGAACCCTCGACAGAAGTTAATGTGCAATTTTCGAGCACTTATCGTCTTTCTGTCGATAACATTCGGCGTTCTGATCCCTTCTATACATTCCTTCATAAGAATTTATGGAGATATTATGTTAATGATAGATAATTTACAATTTACTTTACCAGCTATAACTTGCACAATAAGAATCATAATTTTTTGGTGGAAGAAAGAAGGTAAGCAATTTTCTACTATAACTCTGAACTGCAAATGATGAACATGAGAGATATACGTATCAAAATTGTAATAAAATTATAATAATCTTTGTTTTGAAATTACGAAACTTTGTCTTTGTCACTTATTTATACTGTTTTTCGTCTTAAAACTATAATAAAAGATGGAAGTTTTTACTTCAACTCTATCTTATTAAACTTTTTATTGCTGACAGTTCAACTTGTTATAGTTTCTATTATAATATTGTTTAATTGTGCATTAAAATATACAATATTGACGTTTTCGAAGCTATCATACCAATCATAGATATGGTTGCGGAGGATTGGAGAAAATTGAAAAATGCGCAAGAGAGAAATATAATGATCAGAAAGGCGCAGAGTGCACGCTTACTTATTATGTGCGCATATTGCATCATGACAGTAGGATGCTTGTTTATCATCGTTCTTCCTGGATTTGGAATGTCGATAAGACTGACGCCCAATATTACTGATCCAGGCAGATTAGTGCCTCTGCAAACCCATTACATTTACGATGTATCAAAACGACCTCAGTATGAATTGACGTATATAAGTCAAGCAATCTATATAGTTCTCGCAGTTATGTCTTATACTGGAATCGATCATTTCCTTGGGCTGCTAGTTTTCCATATATCCGGCCAATTAGACATTCTCAAGGATCGTTTGACACATTTAGATAAATACATCAACTCTCACGACATGTTAAGGACATGTGTGGCACGACACATTTGTTTACTTAGGTTTGATATTTACGAAAAATATGTAATATATATGAAATCCATACAACAGAATAACGTTAAAAAACAACACAGCAATATCTAATACACCAAAATAGATGTCACTGTGTTGTCTTTTGACATAAATCTACTACTTGGGAAATATATCTAATACACAGAATGTCTTTCGTAGAGCTATTGCCATTATAGAAGATACGTATAATATAACATTGCTCTCATTATTCGTATATTTTGCAATGCTCTTTGCTTTCTACGGTTTCCGCATAATTATCGTGAGTGTGCAAACATTTAAAAATAAAAATTTGCTTATTAATTAATTTTTAATACAAAACGTAAATATTAAAAATTACTGACACAATAATATCTAAGTTGTTACTATATGTATTTATAAGATATTTTGTGATAAACATTTCTGAAATTATCTTAATTATGATAAATTGTGTTTTTTTTTACTTATCCTATAAATTAATTAGCTATTCGACGGAGGAAATGATTTATCACTCACACGCTTGGTGTTTTTTATATCAACGATTTTTAATTTATTTGTACATATGTGTTTATATTGCGCTCTGGGCGAATTTTTGATGGCCCAAGTAAGTTGCATTCTTTTTTTACTATAAACATCGTATAATTATATATGTTACGTGTCTGGCATTACACTTATATTACAATATAATTCATTTAAGAAAAAAGTTTGTCTTAATGCACAATAAAGTTCAATATTTATCATGCATAAGCGCATAACGAAAATAAATATTAATATCAAAATATAATACAGAAATATATTGATGATGATTTAATATCATTTTTATCAAATTAAATATTGTAACAAATTAATGTAAACTTTTAGAAAATAAAAATTAGTAATTTATTGCATTTATTATTTATAACGTAAATGCATTAATTTACAATTTAAATGAAAATATAAATTACTTCATAATCAATGACTAGATTATTCTCATTACGGAACAATGCATACAATTTTTGTCTATAGAGACTTTTAATACTTTTTAGTGTAATGAAATATATTATGCAGCCTACAGTAATGAATGGTATTCCCTGGATCCAAAACTTGCACAAGACTTGTTGTTTTTGCTGATAAGAGGTGCTAAACCGATTTATCTCACCGCTGGAAAAATATTCCCCATGACAATGACCACATTTTGCTATGTAAGATATTTTAGTGTTTAATAATTATTGTGGTAAAACATTTAAATGACTTTGTAATTTTAGTAATATTTTTTGTACAATAATTTGACAATTAAATATTTTATTGCATCTATGTATACTTTATGCATATCTATGTACCTCATATTATACACACATACACTATATGTATATAATTCTAAACTTTGTGTGATCATAAATTCATTACATTATTAATTATTACTAAAAAAATGTATTTTTCAGTTAATAAAAACGTCAGTCGGATATATATCTGTTTTACATACGACGAGGAGTTATTAAAAAAGTGAGATAGAGTTAAAGTTTTTCTAATAATATGTTATTTATATAGAATGCAATAAACTAAGAATTATATAAATATTAAAATGTTATTGGCAAATAAATTATAGAAATTTTATTGCATAATTTAACAAAAATATGTTGGAAATTCTATTAGATGATTAGAAGTAAAATATATTCAAATTAAACTCAATATGACAACCACATGACAACTTTTATGCCACATCTATGCAAATAAAAAAATAAAATGCGAACTGAGCGTTCGCCTCATACGAAGACAATGGAGGGTTAAGAACAGGGAATTTTAACCTTAATAATAAAGATTTTCTTATACATAATTGCAATAATCCAATAATAATAAAGCTAATGTACAAAATGTTCAAATATATTTATAACGTTTACAGTATTAAAGAGAATTCATATGATCACATTGATATAGTGCGGAAATAATATATTTAAATACACGTTTTAATTTGTATAAATATGATTTTGTTTGTAAGTATAAAGTCCAAAACAATTCCACTCTAATAAAATTTTGTACGTATAAAATTGATCTAAATTTACTTTGTTATGAGTATCAATTATTAATAAAATAAAATTATAAATAAAATTATAAATAGGTATTCCAATTTATATCTATCAATATTTATGTCAAAAGTGCTTTTGGAGTGTTATAAGGTATATGTTACCATCGTAACGTACTAACATGGTGGTAAACATGTTATTATATTATGCGTTGTATATGATCAATTACATATGATTGTTATTTAGGGAAGACAAGGGCACGCATATGGATACAGAATTAATTACAGACACATATGTTTCTGTATTTAATTTTATATCAACTTGCGTGCCCTGATCTCCCCCAAATAGTAATCACACATAACTGGTCTTGCGTGCATGGGAATATGTCACATGTATGGCATTATATTTATTGTATTTTTACTCACCTGTTATTATTCACGTTTCGTCGATGACTACTTGGGACCATAGATAATGAGAATTATTATGATTATTATGAATACTCATGCTGGATATCGATTACCATGTTTTTAAATGTTCTCAACATATGTATGCATATGTGACCCAAGTTTTTATTGAATAATAAATAATTTAGTAATATTAAACAGAAAGAGAGAGAGAGAGAGAGAAAGACAGAGCTGGGAAAGAATATGCGGTTCAAACATTTTCTTCAGTATTGCAGATCAAAGTTACTGAAATTAAAACATTCAGCATCCAAGTCTTCAGGAAAATGACTAGTTTCTATAACTACGATCGATCGATGATGAATGATTGCGACGAGTTGGTATCTTTTAAAATAGCAACTCAATCTTTACAATGACGTTATCATGGAGACAGATGCGATTTCAATTTGGATATCTGCAAGTAAGTTATAGATGATACGTAAATTATTTTTCACGACATTATATGTTATACAACGCCGGATTATGTATCATCTATTGTTAATATAAGTATAGTAATGTTATAAGCTATAACTCATTGTAAAAACGTGTGAATATAACAAATGTTCCCATAAGCGTTTTCTTCATCTACGTGTCACAAAGACCTATTATTACGAAAAAATTTTTTATTATTTTGCGTGATGTTTGGCGCTGAAAACTTGAAACGAGGGGATGCAGAATATTTAAAATACTTTGTTGCAAGTTGATTCGCCTCTCTCGAGCATTATTATTTTGAGCATGCGCGAAAAATGCTTTTTGCTGATTACGAGGTGATATCGATTCATAAAGGAGAATCAGACGTCAGTCTCTAGACAACACTCGACATGGAAAGTCCAAAATATAACGGATACCAAGGTGTTTATTATCGTTGTAACTGTTATTGGGAAAATCTTAATATATAAGAATTTTCATTACCATGTGTACGACTAATAATAGTATTTGAAAGTTTTAAATTATCTTATTGCTTTTACTATATATAACAGTATTTCGGATTAAGTTATTGAATTATTGCGACAAAACATTAACTACATCTAACGTAAGATCTTTCTTGGAGGAGGAGGGGATTATTTATCATATTCTATTTTTTTATATCTATCACTAAATTTGCGTGATTACTAAAAAATGAGGTGTTTTTAAATATTATTTTTCTCGCATTTTATTAAAAAATATTTTATATTTGCCCATTAACTGTGGTTTTACTTGTGTGTGTTAGAAATTAATGAAAATAAATAATTTTATAAACTTCGGACTCACTAAGACTTCTACAGGTAGATTTCGAATGGGCAGTAAAACTGAATCGTTTTATTTTAAATTTGATTGGGCTCTGGCCTAAGACTGTACAAAATTCTCGACAAAGATTAATGTGCAATTTTCGAGTGCTCGTCATTTTGCTGAGTTTAACGCTTGGTCTTCTTATTCCTTCTATACATTCTTTGACAAGAATTTTTGGAGACATTATATTAATGCTAGATAATTTACAATACACCCTACCACTTATAAGTTGCTTGATAAGAATCGTAATTTTCTGGTGGAAAAAAGAAGGTAGATATTATTTATGATTATCTATCTAAATTATAATTATGGAAGCACATAATTTAATAGTATATTGAGCACCAAAGGGCAAACGTAGCGTTTTTCAGACGAGTGTGATTCGGCTCGGGCGGCAAATCACACGAGTCTGAAAAAGCTTTCGACCCGAGGTGCACACGATATTTTTCACAACACCTTTTTACGGAAATGTTCGACTTTTGAATGCTTGTAGAGTGTATGCGTTTGATGTTCCATTCATACAGTTTATACGCGCGTGTATTATAGTTAAATAGAAAGAGAAAAAGAGAGTGATGTGGAGTCCAAAGGCAAAGCCCCTGGGGGGTGAAAGGGTGTGGGAGGCGAAACCCCCCACATAAAAAAAATAAAATTAAAATAAAATTAAAAAATGTATATAAATAATTTTAATTTTAAAATGACAATAAAATTTCCAAAAAATGTAAAAAATAGATATAATTTTTGAAATATAAATATATCATTAGACCTGTAACAGGGACGAAAGTAACAACTTTCCTCCCTGGCGTGAAATTGGCCACTTTCGTCCCTCTCTACAAGCATGAAAAGTCGAACTTTCCGTGGAGGTGTTGTGAAAATATTATATTACAATTATAATGTACACACATATATAATATTTTAAAAGTCTATATCAATATTCTATAAAATAACTTGATTTTATTTATGTAAATGAAATCAATCATATATGTATATATATTCTATTTCTATATAAAGAACAAACTATATTAATGTATTTTCTACATTTTTTGAATCAACTTGCTGTGTGCGTTTCTTACATTAAAAATATCTATACATTATTTATTTTTTAAAATAAAACAAACGTTTTACACAATACAATTACATTAGTCATTATGTATGTATATAAAAATATATTAATAAAAAATCACAAAAAAAAAATATATATATATATATAAAACCGGTAGTATACATAGTCAGATCTTATTCAAGATCGTCTTAAGTTTATCTCTAGATGCTGAACGACTCGTTTCATTGGCTACGGAATATCTAAAGATAAACTTAAGACGATCTTATATATAAAATCTGACTATGAATACCGGCCTATAAGTTACATAAATAATATGAGTGAGCTTATGAGCAATAAAAATCGCATATTACAAATTTATTTCTGTTTTTTACATAACAATAACTTTGTTTTTTTTTTATTAAAAAACAAAAAAAGATTCTTACTTTTTTGTTTACATTTAAACTTGTAATGGTTCCTTATTCCGATTCAATAATTATGTTCTTTAAAGCTATCATACCAGTCGTGAATATGATCGCAGAAGATTGGCTAAAGGTGAAAAGTGCACAAGACAGAAGTGTAATGATCAAAAGGGCACGGAGTGCACGCATAATTATTACATTTGCCTTTTGCATAATGGGAACAGGAGTCTTTTATCTTATCGTTTTGCCTATCTTTGGAATATCGATGAGAGACACAACCAACATTACTGATCCAGGCAGACTAATACCTCTACAAACTTATTACATTTACGATGTAACAAACAGTCCACAGTATGAACTGACATATATTAGTCAATCTATTTATATTATTGTCGGCATGATGTCCTACAGTGGAATCGATAATTTTCTCGGACTACTAGTTTTCCATATATGTGGTCAATTAGAGATTCTGAAGAACCGTTTATCAAGTTTCGATAAATGTGTTAATTCCCACGAGATAAGAATATGTATAATAAGACACATGCGTTTGCTTAGGTTTGATATTTATATATCAATATAATCTACATAAAATATATAATCAGTACTCCATTTGTAAATATCTAATACGTGGACCACCTTTTATAGAGCTATTAACATTATTGAAGATACATATAATGTAATCCTTCTCTTTTTATTCGCATATTTTGCAATACTCTTCGCTTTTTATGGTTTTCGGATAATTACTGTAAGTATTTTGAATTTTTTTATATTTCCATAAGACTTATTTGAATTAATAATAAATTAATTCTTAACTAAAATAAGAAAATAACTGATAAATATACTACGCATTTTCTATGTTCTATCTAAGAAATTTCTATTTGTATAATTTTTTATTACAAACATCTGAATTAATATTAATATTTAAAAAATCCTATATTTTCTCTTCTTCTATAAATTAATTAGTTATTTGACGAAGAGACTGATATATCATTCTCTCGTTTGATATGTTTTATGGCTACCGTAATCAATATATTCGCACATATGTGCTTATATTGTGCTCTTGGCGAGATTTTGGCTGCCCAGGTTAGTCAAATTTTTATCTTTTTTGTTATAGAAGTCATGTAAATTTTATATTGCATAATTATAATTATAATTATGCAATATAAAACTTATAATATAATAAATATGTGCATATAATAAACATATAATACACATATGCAATATATGCTACATAATATAATTGATTTATGCAAGAAATATTTAATATAATACATGACGTACCTACTAATTCTAATACTTGTCACACGTACAAAAAATTATTAATAATTTCTGTATATAATACATAACTAAATTGTTGATGACTTTGTTTAATCTCATTTGGTTAGCTATCACAAAAGTTTAACGTAAGTTTATGAAAGTAAAAATATAAATTAATCCTGAAATAAATTATTTATAGAATGAAAAAGTTATACTATAAGTCCGACAAATGCATTAATTAATTGAAATTAATAAGTAACATTTATTCAGTTTCTAGATAAAGTGTGTAATAATTTTCGACTAAAATACTTTAAATATTTTTAAGTGTAATAAAATATACTACGCGGCATACAGTAATAAATGGTACTCCATGAATCCAAAAATAACCCACAACTTGCTACTTTTAATGATAAGAGGCTCCATACCGGTCTATCTGACTGCTGGAAAAATATTTCCTATAACGATGGCTACGTTTTGCAGTGTAAGATATCATAATATTCGACAGTAATTTTTTCATTAAAACTTATTTGACACAAAAATTTTATAATATATTTTATAGAACCATTTATATTACTTGATAAAATTTGAATCTTTTGTTTTATTTTATTCTCTTGTTTATTACATTAAATTTTAATATTAATTATTCAGAGATATTTTTTTAACTATAGTACTAAGAAATTTGTTTTTCAGTTAGTAAAGACGTCAGTTGGATATATATCCGTTTTACATACAATGAGAAGCTAATAAGTACAAAGCTGAGAATAAAGTAAGATAAATCTAAACTTTCTTTCATATTAAGCAATTTTTTAAGAAAACAATAGTGTA